ATAAAGATATTGAACAAGACCGGCCCCAAAACTGAGCCCTGGGGAACACCGCTCGTGACCGGCCGCCAACTGGATGTAACTCCATTCACCACAACTCTCTGGGCCCGGCCGTCCAGCCAGTTTTTGACCCAGCGCAGAGTACACCTGTCTAAGCCGTGAGCCGCCAGCTTCTCTAGGAGAATGCTGTGGGAGACAGTGTCAAAGGCCTTGCTGAAGTCCAGGTAGACCACATCCACAGCCTTTCCCTCATCCGCTAGGCGGGTCACCTGGTCATAGAAGGAGATCAGGTTGGTCAAGCAGGACCTGCCTCTCATGAATCCGTGTTGGCTGGGCCTGATCCCCTGGTTGTCCCGCAACAAATTGTACTTGAAGCTTGTACTTGTATTGTACATGTACATCTAGCCCAAGGTTAACCCCAAAGACTCTGGTGAGTGTGTAATGCTTTTTTTGCCCTTTGATGGGATGATTGGTGTTCCTTAATTCTTCAAATTGTGTACATGGCTGATCAAAATAAAGAACTAGAAAGATCTTTTAGTGTTTTCCTTTCATTTCCCATTCCACCATATGCACATATTTTACTAATCAAAAATATCTGGGAGTTTAATTCCTCTTCAGATGAAAGATTAAGAGAGTCGTTATTTATAGTATGTGGATGCTACAGCCATTTTAATGTTAGAGACATTTAACAGATGAAATGTCTGTGGTCATTTTTTACCCTTTAATAAGTATGAAGGTACATATGTAGATGATTAAGTGCAACAATTTCCATTATTTTGGTATTTTCGTGTTTTTCCTAAATGCTTTTTAAATACTTCAAATATTCCTTAAAACAGAAAATCTGAAACTAGGGGCTCAAATTAGCATGATTTAAAACAATATAAGCAATTGTACCTTTTCTATTTGACAGGTTGTTGTGTTTTAACCCGGCAGGCAGCTAAACACCACACAGCTGTTCGCTCACTCCTCCCCCTGCCCCAGTGGGATGGGGGAGAGAATCGGGGGGAAAAAAAAAAAGTAAAATTCGTGGGTTGAGATAGGAACAGTTTAATAGGACAGAAAAGGAAGGGAAAATAATAACAATAATAATGGTAAAAGACTATACAAAATAAGTGATGCATGATGCAATTGCTCACCACCCGCCAACTGATGCCCAGTCAGTCCCCGAGCAGCAGTCACTGCACCCTGGACAACTCCCCCCAGTTTATATACTGAGCATGACGTCACATGGTATAGAATGTCCCTCTGGGCAGTTTGGGTCAGCTGTCCTGGCTGTGCCCCTTCCCAGCTTCTCGCTGGCAGGGCATGAGAAGCTGAAAAGTCCTTGACTAGTGTAAGCACTGCTTAGCAACAACTGAAACATTGGTGTGTTATCAACATTATTATCATCCTAAATCCAAAACACAGCACTGTACCAGCTACTAGGAAGAAAATTAACTCTGTCCTAGCCAAAACCAGGACACAGGTAAATACTGCCATGGGTTGGCTTGCACACAGATTGTTGGAAGGAGAAGGACGTGAAAAAAACCTCACATTACTTCACAAGACTTTTTTTTTTTTTCTGATGAGGTGGGCGAAACTGTACTATAGCATTTTCATCTATATCAAGGTACAATATCTTTCTTTTTGTTAAAAACACCTTAGAAACATATAGAAGCAATATCCTATTAAGTCCTGCAGTTTTTCCCAGTTCTTAAAATTCCTCAATATAAACATTTTTAAAGTTGTATTTCCTACAGCATATACTCAGAGCAAAGGATAATGAAATTGGTCTTGGACACAAGTCACAAGTTAGTTGTTGCAACAATAAAAGGAGCCTTTATTAAACATCTTTTTGGATGGAGGACATGAAGGGTTACAAGAGGGTGCTTGTTTATTTGTATTGGTCACAAGTGAAGATTTGAGCTGTTGGAGACACAGGGGATAAGAGTAATAACTCCTCCCTTTTGACCAGGAAAGAAAGTTTTCTTCATCTTTAACCTGCCCTTCAGAACTGTATTTCTGGATGACTGAGACTGCATTTTGTTAGCTAGGAAATAAATGACTTGTCATTTCACGTTACGTGAATTCTGCATATTACTTAAATAGTAATTTCTCAAGTACAAGTACTGCAGAATGTATTACCCACTTGTGTATTTCGACAAAATGCTTTCTGAGTAAACCAGTTTCACTGGTGCTGCATTGTATTGGGTTACGTGGCAAGGTTTTGGTAGCGGGGGGGCTGCAGGGGTGGCTTCTGTGAGAAGATACCAGAAGCTGCCCCCATGTCAGACAGAGCCAGTTCCAGCCGGCTCCAAGACAGACCCACCGCTGGCCAAAGCTGAGCGATGTTGGTAGCACCTCTGTGATAACGTATTTAAGAAAGGGTTCCAGTTACTGGGTTGTTTTCCTTTGGCTGAGTCTTTTTTAATGTGTTCACTCAAATCACGAATGGTTTCAGAATTGTCTAGGGTAAAGACAAAACATTACTTTCCAATTAAGGTGGATATTTTACCGTTATGAGCCAGCATAAAGTCAAGTGTTAACCTGTTTTGAAGGGGGACTATACGGATAGTGGTCATTTCAGTCGTTATTTGGTAAGAAGAATCTGTAGTGTTATTACTAATTTGCTTTAAATAATCGCTAATAAACAATTTTTTTAATGGTTCTTGCTACCTCATACAAGGGAAGCATAATAGTCCCAAATTTTTCAGGCCCTGAGATAGCTTGCCTTTTCTAGGAATATTCAGAGGGGAAAGATGACAAATGTTCAACAGCTGGGGTTATATACACCTGACAGACCGTGATCCAAACCTGTCCCGTGGGAGCCACAGGTATGCTAATATACCACGAATGAAATAGGCTCCCAAGGAAGTATATATAGAAGATGATGTCAACTCACAGTTTTGTGAGTTATCAAATAAATGTCTAGTATCATTCTGACAATTAATAGTTTTGGTACAATTACTCTGTCCCATGTAGCATGTTGCATTTGCTTTCAAGTAACAAGTGTTCCCATGGGCAACTAATCCCAGGTGGTGGGTAGGAGTTGGAGCTTCATGCACACCTGTATTGGATCAACTTGGATCAGTTCCCGTGTATTGTTGGTGGGGATGATCTTGGACAAGG